TTTGATTGTGGCTGTGATCCGGTGTAGCCACAGTAAAAATCGGCACAGAGATTTCTGAAAAAACAAAACAGAAAAAGGAAACCATAGGACCCTGCTCTGCTACACCTGGACAAAAGGCGAAAGGCTCTCAGCCCCACCACTGAGATGTTTGGACACCCACGTTCTTAGCTGATCCAGTCACAATAACAAAAAAGAAAAAAAAAATAAGGGAGACCATCCGACCTGTCCACCAGCAAACACGAACATTGAAATCACGGGAAACTTATACAACAGGATTTCACTCAGAAAAATGAAACTCTCAAATATTCAGGGAAATGAATGGACAGGGTATTATCATAACCAAAAGAGGTGACCCAGACGAAGAAAGACACACCCCACAGTCTGCTCCCACGAGAGCCTAGCACACATCCTGAAACTAGAAAGCAGGCCTTGAGGGGGGAAAAGAGTTTTGTGGGAGGCAGGGGGAGGTAGGAGGAGAAAACAACACACGCCATGAAACTGGAGAACTAGCGGGAGAAAGGGACAGGGGTGGGGTGGGGACCCAAACTCTGGATGCAATTAGAGAGTCTAACAGGTTGGGGACTAAAAAGAATAAGAGAGTAACTTCGGGGTGAGTTTGACACCTGCACACTTCCCACCCACAGGAGCTGGAGTCTTGGGTACTCTGACTCTGAGCCTCTCCTGGGCAGCTCTTGGGGATCCTTCCTGCTCCCTGTGTGGAACACTGCTCAGAAGGGAGGTCGTTCTACACCTGTAACTTCCTGCACCTCAGAGAGAGATCAGCCACAGGACCCGATCAGCCAGGACCGGAGCCTGTGGCCTGAAGCTGCCCTGTTCCCAGCTTCCTGTGGGAAGGCTCATGACTCACCTTGGTCCAGGTGCTCTTGGCCCTTGTCATTTTCTCTTTCACTTTAATGTCCCACCTGCTCTAGCCCCGCCCTGCTCTGGGCTTCCCCAGTCTGGGCTCTCCTGGTGGCTGGTGTCATTCTCCAGCCTTGTTTTCACTTTTCCTACATCAGCTGGGCCTGCCCAGGAGACGATACAAGTATGGAGCTGGGATGGCTGAGCACACACAACTACAGCGGCAATGTCTCAGTGGAGAGACAGAGAAAGCCTGAGAGCCACACACGGGAAGACCCAGGCCAGAGACACCGAGCAAGACCAAGGAAGCCAGGGACAGCCTCGAGGGCTCACCCGAATCCCCAGATCCTCACAGACCCCAGAGAGCAGCATGAAGCCTGGTGAGTCCCCAGACTGGTGCTCGGGGGGCGCGTCCACAGCCCCCTCCTCCAGCCCTCACTCTGTCCTTCTGTCACACTGAAACAGCTGGGGGCCGCCTGCTCCTGCTGCTGCTGCTGCTGGCCGCGGTGCTGACGGGAACCCGCGCTGCTCCTGTGCCCAGGCCGACCAGGCTCCCACCAGATGCAAAGGACTGTCACATAGCCCGGTTCAAGTCTCTGTCCCCTCAAGAGCGGGAGGCATTCCTTAAGGCAACGGTTGCCATAGTGAGTCTCCCTCTGCCCTCCTGGGTGGGCTAGCCTCCACCTCTCTCCTTTGCTGGGCTTAACCCCTTATGCTATGTTAACTGGTGTGAAAGTTCTCTCCACACTTGCACAGTGGGCTGACTTTGACTCTTGCTAGAGTGGGCTAACCTCAGCCGTTCCTGCAGCGGGTTGACTGCCACCCCTGCTGCAGTGGGCTAGTTCCCACCACGCTTTCAGTGAGCTAACCCCAGACTCTCCCACACAAGGATGACCTCCACCCTCCCCCAACTGCGCTCCTATTCTGGCTCTGAGTGCAGTCGCTACCTATAACTGCTGCCATGAAGGAGCCTCTGTCTCCCTGGCAGTGAGCTTTCCTTTTGCTGCTGTGGCC